CATTAAAATGTCTTCTCACTTATTACCTCTAACTTGTTATTATACATACAAAAGAAATAATAAATTTTTCTAAAAGATGTCTCATTTTATAAATACATACAATTACAAAAACGTATCATGAATTTAATATTACCGTTGTAACTCCCCATCCGGATATTGTGCACGGCAAGCCTTCAAGACCTTGATCAGATTTCGTAAGATTTATCGCTTGCACTAGCTTATTGTACTTGATCGGACTTTTAAGGTAAATCAAAGCGATGTCATTAATGATTAAATATTCGTCGTAATTTTGATGGATTCTAACATCTTCTACGTCATGAACGTATCCTGATTCGTTTAACAAGATTGTGCCGATATGGACCTTTAGTTCATCCGGGGAACATTTCAATCTAACAACAAAAAAACATAAAAATCTAAATCTGTTAAGAACAGATTTTAAAATTGTTTGCTATATATTTTGTCGATACCAGCAGAATATAATAGAATCTTCTAATAGAATATAATGATATATTGATTGCGAAAATTAACAGAACCTGCATTTTTTTACATTTAAATGATGTATTTCGTTTAAATATTGTCGAAATGGCAGATTCTGTTCAGTTTCTACCAACAATTTGTTGTTATATTAGCACTATTAGCGAAACATGATTTTAATGTACGTAGATAGATAATGTACTGATACTGGTTGTGTGTTGCAATATCTGAGCAGCTGATAATTTGTTGTCATACTGTGGGCTGTTTGCTTATTAAGTACATTTTGTACACATTGTGTCCATTTGACGTGTTAAAAGATTAGTTTTACAATTAGATTCCGCTGTAAAAAAATAATGTATTGATATAGTTTAAGAATTGTTTAACATACCCGTCAACACAATGTGCCGCAGTTAACACGTTATAATTATCAAGGATAGATCCACTGCATACGTGCTTGCCGTTTAATCTCAATGACGCTTGATACGGAAATTTGCCAATGGGAGCATCCTTGCCGCCAATGATATGAGGAAACAAAGTTCCTTGTTTACAAAAATTAATTAATATTAATACAAGCGCTAAATAATATCTGTTACGTTACGACAAGAGCTTTACACTCTTTACAGAAAGAGACAGGTATACAATATAGAAAATATTCTATGTTTGACTTTTGCTGAATATCAAATAAAGACAGAGTAAATGAACTTCTATGTTGATACGTGTCTCTTATTGAAAAACACTCTATTACACTTATCACAATAACATATAATGTCTATTAAATATAATGTCGATTTTATGGCTAAATGAGCTATTCGAGAAAATTACAGATTTATTTAGAATGGAAATTTTTTGTTTAGCAAAAAAGTTTTATTATTCTCGTCACTTTAATTTTCATTAAACTACACGTATTTAGAAAAAGCAGAGAAATGTTAATTGAAAATTGATGTTTGAAATTTAGAGAAGAAATATTAGATTTGTATTTTATGCAATTAATTCTTTCCAGAAATATGTATTTTTTTTATTAAATGTATGCAGCAATATTTGCACAAGCTGTAAATGCTATAAAATTATTAGAACTTTGCGTATATTGAAAACTAATTGTCTTATATATATATATATATATATATA